TGCAGGGCTAGAGATCTCCTATTTATTAGTAGAGACTATGAGATCAGCCTATCAAATATGAAGCACATCTTCTTAAATGTGTAAAAGAATTAGAGCTGGGATGGGGAATGTGTTGCTATGGTAGCCGGATGCTTTTTTTTTTTTTTTTTGCCTGGGAAAGAACCCATGAGAAATTCATACTGACTCAGCAGCAGGAATCTGTTCCTCCTGGGGCTTGCTAGACACACTCACAAAGTGTGGTGCTTCCTGCATTCTCCCTTGGTGAGATTTTGACTTTCTTTATACAGCTCAGCTTCTCAAGTTTCTGAATTTTAATAAGATTGCCTGTCCTGTGTCTTTTACCGTCCTCGTTCCTGGAGTGAAAGGCTCCAAGCCCGATAGCAAAAATCCATTATATTTCAGAAGGAGCATTCAAAACGTACGCAACTCAGAAGTGTGAAGAGAAAGAAGAACAAATTCCCAAAGGGAACTACTTTATGTCATAACAACGGAATTCAGTGCTGTGGTTACTCAAAGGCTAATGTGGCTATTATGGTCTTGAGTTGCTTGAAGTAAAATAATTTCAACTTCCTTCTGTGTGTTGTCTCCAGTTTTGTAGTCTTCCATAAACTTCAACCAGCATGGACACTCATCCCCGAGATGGGGATAATGGGCAATGAATACATCTGTAGGGTCACCAAATAAAGTAATGCTGTCTTGTCTGAAATGTGCCAAGGAAAACAAGAATAGATATAAAATTGCCTAACATCAATTTTAGTGCGCATTGAAAAGAAGCTTCATCTGGAGTGAACATTGTAACATTTGTGAATGATCAAAAAGGACAATGGGGAAATGAGCTACGGTTTGTCCAGCCCCTTCTCGTTATTTTCTAAGTAGTGTTTCTGGAATGGCTGAACAAACAATGATTAGTGTTAACTTGCTTTTAACAAAGGAAGCAAAACTAAAGTCCATTTCGGATCCTGGATTAGAAAGCAGGAAGGAAATTTGTCATCTCTAGTTGCATTCCACATCTTTACAGATCTCGTGGTTAGGTCGGTGGGGCAATGATTGCGTCTGATGGAAAGAAGTGGAAGAAGGGTGTTTTGTGGTGTGTGTGTGAGCGTGTGTTCATTGCCAACTGCTTAATCCTAGTTATGTAATTAGAAATGCTCCATTTCCACAGGACTCCAGTGCAAACGTGTTACCCAAGTTCTAATATCCTGCGATGAAAGGTATCTTATTCTATATCCATTTTCTCCTCCTGAATCTGAGGATATGCATTTCCTGGGCAGACACTTGGACAATGTATTCAGTAACATTTCCCCTGAAGTTGAAGTGAACCTTCCCTCTTTCCCTCAAGTAAATTGGCCTACGGTCATAGTGGCACCTTAGCCTCTTTCCTTAGATAAAGAGTGACGTTAGATGAGGTGGATGGTAGATGAGAAGAGATCTCTTTAGTCTACTCTTTGTATAGGGAAGAAGGGAGATCCCTCCTAATATTTCGTAGTGCTAATTGGCTCCCATGACTGCTATTTAAAACTTTAATGCGTAATGCTTGAGGGGAAGAGTGAATGAACAGGACCGATAAGAATCCTTGCTAAATTCAAACAGGGATTCGGTTCCAAATGAATGACCCAGCAAGAAACTTCTAATACCAAGCAACTGCCGGAATTCTTTGCTCACAACAGTGGCTTGTTATCAGTCACCCCACAAAGGGATAAAGGATTTGATTAAAGACAATCCTTCCCTCCCATCGAGCCCTGCACCACTTGCCGATTGCAGCAGCCGAGTGCTAAGGCTGAGAAGCCAAAGCAATAGGACCAGGGAAAGCAAGACGTAGAGAAAATCAGCTGCACAGCGGTGGGGTGGGAATTTACAGATCTGCTCCTGCTCAGCTCACAAAAATAGCAGACAGCTTCCCAGACATTATGAAAGCAACAAGAATAGCAACCATCGAAAACCCTAGGAGTGAGAAATGATGTCACTCAGCTGCAGTTGAGAGAAATGCATACAGGAGCAGGTTGGAACTTCGGGTGCCACAGCTGTTCAGTTAAGGCGCAGTTTCAAATCTGGGTTTTATGACTGTTTATGGATGCTGAAAAAAAACCCTGCGTTTCTCCCTCTCCTTCTTTTTAAGGACAAATTTTCACTGCCTTGTTTGGCCTGCAGAAATCAAATTCAAGAGATACCCAAGGCCTACCAGTTCCTGTTTTTTTTCTTCTTCTTTTCTTTCTTTTTTTAATCAGAGCTTCCTGCAGGCTTGGTGACCTCGCAATGTATTGTGGAACAAATACTCCTATTTTTCTTCTCCTCAAGTGACTTGAGAATGTTGGCTCTTCTGTGGTTAACCCACCAGCCTCTTCCTGTAACTTCAAGGATAGCAAATTTCAGCATGTGCTGTCTGTCTGAAGAGCAGATTTGCACTGAAATGAATACGCCGGTTGGGAACATTTTTCTTCTTCTTAAAGGGTCATCTAGAAGCGCTACAGCCATGGCTTATTTTTAACAATGTCTGTTCCTGAAAATGAACGTGTTGCCATTATAGGATGCATGAAATCATCACCTGGGTTCAACTGAAGTTGTATATTTGTCACACTTTATAAGAATAGCCAATAGTTGCCTTATACAAGCTCTTTCCTAGCTAATGTCCTTTATGCACGATAGTGAATTTTTGAGACTTCTTCCTTTGTTTGCAGTGACACTGCATTATTATATAGTCAGACTAATGACTACGGTGTTGGTGCATTATTTTGAAATTTCAGTTATGTGGGGAAACTATCGGACACTCGGCCCTATAGGAATGCAATGACAATTCTGAAATTAGCAACTTTTTTTTTTTTTGCCTTTCATTTTGCTGTTGAGGATCTTTGACAAATAAGATTACTTTCTTCAACCTAGCAAAAGTGTAGCACCTATTTTACATTATAGTGTGCAATGCTCTCCATCCCCCTTACTCCAAATTTCTCCATCAAACGCCTGTGTTACTTTGACTGATGGATCTGGCTATCTTTCGGTGATTCAACTGTTAGGTGCCCACTAAAAGTGAATTGATCTATTGCCAACAAATTGAGATCAAAAGCACCTTGTTACGTAATTTAGAAACTATCTGCTGTTGATCAAAACACCACTTGAAAGAAGGAAAAAAAACCATGTGTCTGATCCTTGGCATTTCTATACTACACTATGTGTACGGTTCAGAGTGATTATTAAAAGGAGTTAAGTGATTGCATGCGACCTAGTTTGCTGATCACCGACATTAAGACAACAGTTGGAGCTTGGAAAAATGGGGGAGGGGAGAGGTATTTTCCACCCCATGTGTTCCCAGGATGCCACTCCAGCATCTTGCCTGTCTTCCTTCCAGAGAGAGAAAGAGAAAGGCAACAGTAGCCTGTCAGAATCACCAGAAGCTTCTGTTGAGTTCAAAGCACATAAGAGTTTATTATTGCTACCTCTATACAAAAATCCAGTCAACTAATGGTCAAACTAAATTGGCGTTAGAGAATTCAAGGAAGACTGGACTGGTCTCTTGTGGCAACACAATGACCTCAAACTGATGACACATTTAACCCCTCCTTCCAGCTCAGCCTGCTCTTCTTCTACACTGTCATTCCCAACTTCTCCTTGTAGAGAAGGAGAAACATTTTTCTCTGTGCAGGAACAATTCTTCCCCATGTTCTCTGCATGGTGATTTTTTTTTTTAAATAAAAAGTCTAAGGTATCTTATCTTTTAAAGCTCAAACTCCAAGACATACTGGGGAGTCTGTGATAAGACGTTCTCCACAGATTGGCAGTTTCCATAAATCCATGTGGTAAAGCAGTGATAATTTAAGTTGTTTGAAAGATATGACTTATGCGAGCCTAGAGTTGCAGAGTCTTCCCTGAACTAAAGAACTGTCCTTTTTCCTCTGGAACAACCAGCCTCTTACTGATTTGTAGATTTTTGTACTTTCCCCCCCCCCTGATGAGCCTCTTGTGTGCTCTACCTTCCTTCTTGAATGTCTTATCGTTCTCTTAATTATCATTTCTGCTTTTGACGTTGCCGTTTACTTAATATACACAACCACATCCTCTCTTTGCTGCAGTTATACTCCTTCTTTAGCATTCAAAAGTGGAGTCTTACGCAGTCTTCACGCACATCCTTTGCAGTTTAACCCATTCTCGTACTTATGCTTTTAGCCACTGGCAACAACCCCCCCCCCCGCCCCCCAAATGCTCTGACACACCAGCACACTCTTTTACATATAGCTTTCTCTTAAAACCTTCCTTTGGACAATCTTGGTATCTCCGTATTTCATTGCCCTACTCAATTCAAAAACATAAACAGATTTCTTTTTATCTGCTTCTCCATCAACATGATGTGATGTCACTGTGCACATATGTGATAATGAGTAAATAATCTATACATTGGTATTTTCCCTATGATTTAATGGAATTTTTTTTCCTGCTGAAAATTGCTGCTTCAGATGACCTGAATTCATGAGGACCACTAACCTCTTTGCTCCCATATCCCACCTGTAATTTGGATCAGTAGTTTTTGCAGGTGGTGTATCTCATTTCAAGGCACATTGTAGAGCATAATGCCTATCATGTGGACATGGGGAAAGGGCTGGCTCACACCGGTTGGGAATTATAGGAGTTAAAGTCCATTATATCCAGAAATTGCCAAGTTGGGGAAGATTGTTTAAAGGCTACTATGTGGGGCTTGGGCTATACTGAAGGCTGCTGAGAGTCTATGACAAGGTTGGTAGTACTTTACTGTATGGAGAACCATTCTTTTACCAAGCTAATGTTTCGAGAACTGAACAAAATCTCTCTCTCTCTCTCTCTCTCCCCCTCTCCCTCCCTCCTATCTATCTATCTATCTATCTATCTATCTATCTATCTATCTATCTATCTATCATTTATCCACTCACCTATCATCTACAGGTAGTCCTCAACTTACAATCATCCATTTAATGATCATTCAAAGTTACAACAAAATTGAAATATGTGACCAGTCCTTGCACTTATAACCATCACAGCATCCCTGGGGTCAGATGTTCAAAATTTGGTTGCTGGGCATCTGGCAAGCATTACAATGGTTACAGCATTCTGGGGTATGCAATTGCCATTTATGGCCTTCCCAGCCCGCTTCTGGCATGCAAAGTCAATGGGGAAAATCGGCTTTGCTTCAAAACTGCATGAGTCACTTAACAATTGCATTGATTTGCTTAACAACCAAAATGATTTGCAAAACAAGTCATCAAATTGGATCTGACTCACTTAACACCTGCCTTGTTTAACAACAGAGATTCTGGTCTCAATTGGATCATAAGTCAAGGACCACCTGCATCTATTATCGCTCTTGTCCTGTTTGTCATCTATCACTCTAGGTTTTCCAAGCCAATTTTCCAACTTGCTATGCTGCAGCTGAGCCAATTTTGCCTAAGTTAACTTTTAAACCAATAGGAAGGCTGAAGATAGGACAAACCCTTCCAGTGGTGAGATTCAGTTTTTACTACTGGTTCTGTAGACATGGCTTGGGGGCGTGGCAAGGGAAGGATACTGCAAATTCTCCATTCTCTCCCCACTCCTGGGGGAAGGTTACTGCAAAATCCCCATTCTCTCCCCACTCCGTTAACCTGTTTCCCAGCTCCGGTCTCCGGTGCAGGGCAACAAAAGAAAACCCAGCTATTATGTAATATTAACCTGAGCTATTATGTAATATAATTATATTAGTGACTAGGAAATGGATGCACAAAAAAAAGTGGTAAACCAACCGATGTACTGTTTGTAAATTTATGAAGAAGGATGATATTTTTATGTTTTATGTGGCATGTCTGTGTTGTTTTGTTGTTAAAATAAAAAACTTTTTTTTAAAAAAAGAAAACCCAGCCAATCAGCTGGGACTCGGGAGGCAGAGAATAGATGGGGATGGGGCAGTTAGAGGTGGTATTTGCCCTAGTTAGCAATTAAATACTACAGGAGGAGAAGCTTCGTAAGAAGCTTCACAACAAGTCACAATTTTCTCTACAACTCTTCAGACTTTGCTCAGTCGGATTCAAAGCTGTGGACAAGTATAATAGTATCCAAACGGATTCTTTTCTTCACTTTCTAGCTTAATCAAGTTAACCAAACAATAATTAGCTCTTAAACAACTTATTGAAATATAGGCCGACTTGTTGAAATCATCAGACATGCAGACCTCTCACAAACCCAGACAGCCCAGATTTTGAGTGCTTGAATTGTATAAGAGAGGGAGAGAAAGAAAGAGATCCAATAAGATGGCTGAGATTTACTGTGGGTTCTGTAATTTTTGCTTGAAACCAGACTCGGTTGATTTCATCAAGACTTGCTTTCAAGGCTAGACTTATTATGTTCCCATTCATGTAATTAGTAATTGCATAATTGCTGAAAGTAAACATCAGAGGCAGGAGCTGGATGAAGACAGCAATATGCCAAAACATCACTCTGTCTCCAAGGTGGATCTGAGCTTACCTGCTTTTCACACAAACAAAAAGGGGGAAATGTCCAGTTTGACCCTAAAAAAGCAAATTTGTGGCAGGATGTATATCTGCTGAAATTTCAAGCATCTGAGTAAAAGAGATAGGTTGTTTGCACACAATGTCATAACCAACATTTTAAAGTTTAAACTAAAGCAGATCCACTCTGAACTCTCTTGTTGCCTGACATGGAATTGGTTATGGCTGTTAGTTAAATGGAGACTTGCAACAAAGTTTATAAATGCATATCCCTGGACTGACTTCTGGAGGCCAAACTACATATATGGAACATTTGTCATGTAATGCAGCTGGCTTGTCCCCACCCTCCCAAAAAATAGAATAACTATCTTAGAAGCTCTTAAGCTGGATCAGGAAAGAGAAGATTTTAAACTTTGGCCTTGCAGCTGTTTTATTTAAAATTGCTCCTACCCACCAGGAGTTGCTATTCACAAAGGGGAAAGGTTCAGAGGTGGCATTCAGCAGGTTCTGACCAGTTCTGGAGAACCGGTAGTGGAAATTTTGAGTTCGGAGAACCGCGAATACCACCTCTGACTGGCCCCGCCCCCATCTATTCTCTAAGTCTGAGTCCCAGCTGATTGGCTGGGTCTTTTTGTTGTTGCCCTATACAGGAGGACGGAGCTGGAAAGCAGGTTAGTGGGGTGGGGAGGGAATGGAGATTTTGCAGTATATCCTTCCCCTGGCACTCCCACCAAGCCACATCCACAGAACCAGTTGTAAAAATTTTTGAATCCCACCACTGACGGATGGACATGATAGCGTGTGAAAAAGTTACCGTCCCGCTAATGGATGCAGAGGCCAATACTGCACCTGGAAGGATTGTGGCAAAATTATTGTGATTGTGATCATTTGGCCATAGTTGAATATTCAAAGTTGGCCTTTCTATTGTAGGCCTCAACTCAGTTGTGTCTCAGGAAGCAAGAATGCTTGCCTTTTGGGTATGCTTTCCTTGATGCTATGGTCCCGGCAGGCAAGAACAGGATTTATACATCACCCCCGCCCCAAATTATACTCAAATGATTATTTTCCTCATGTTCCTCAATGAATGTTTGCAGTTTTTGGCTTATCTTCCTTTCATTTGACAAACCAGATGGTGTTAGGTGCCCTTCTTCGCTATATGCAGTCCTATTGAGAGTCAGGATCTGTTCCTCAATAAAAGAACTAAGTACATTTATTGCGAGAGCCAGGAACTGCGCAAGGAGTTCTGGCAGTGATGCTGAAGACGACAAAGAAGAAAAAAAAGATGAGGAAGGAAGGCACTGGGAGTGAAAAGCAGGTGATGCAATTGGGTGCCCACCAGCCTCACCGGAACAATGTTCTAAAAAAGATAGTTGAAGCTCAGCTGCGGTTTACCACAATGTTCTGCTGATCAGCTGAATGGTCTGAAGTAGAGAATGACTAAAAGTAAGTTTATTTTCCCACAGTAAGAGGCATGAACACAGATGCACATGCTCACTCTTGTGCACATACAAAATCTTTGTGCACAGATGTTGAGGTCAATTCTGCTTTACAGATGTTGGCTTTAGCTCGTCTTAAGGAATTCCACTCCCCCCTCCCCGATGATTTTGGACTTAAGCAAATAAACCTGTCCCTTTGATTGCATTGTCCTAACCCATTTCTTCCTTTTAAAATTTCTTTTATAAACATAAGCTGCTGTTCGACTACAATATGGACAGATGCACTCTCTCATGGTTCAAAGAAAGCATGGGAGCCAATGACTGTCTCTCTTTTCTACAAGGAATGGAAGGCAGAAAGCAACTCGCTGGAACTCCAGGTCTTAGGTCAATGGAACTCAATGGAAGCAGAACCTTCTAGAACAGTGTTTCTCAACCCTTGGCCCTTTGAAGGTGTGTGGAAGTCCACCTCTTCAAACTGCCACGGTTGAGAAACACTGCTCTATAATAATGGGAATGAAAGAACTCCTGCTGATGCTTCTGAAATTCAGATTCAGCAGTAGTTATAGCAAAACTGGATTTCTTTCCCTCTATTCTGAAAAAAATGGTATGCTGGGATGTTAAATTTTAGACAATTTGTTAAAGAGGAAGATTTTTGTTTTGTCTAATGAGGTTTTTTTTTGTCTACCTGCTTTGCAGCTGTAAAACATTTAACCATGCTCCTACATTAGGATTTATAATATTTTTTCCCCTCATTTTTCATTTTAACAATGTATGAGTGGTTTTTACTGTATGCCACTTCGGGCCCTGGCTTGTAGAACAAAGCTAATAAACAGTAAATCTAAATCTAAATGACATCTGATGTTCCCTTCACCACACACATTACTGTTTCTCTGGTGTATTCTGTGCAGTAATACAGAAGGATGCTTAAAAGGTGTAGGAGAGGGTATGGAATACAAAAGGGTGAAGGTAACATCTGTGCTTGCAGAAAATGGCTTTTAGCACTAATCCTCTCATGTTGGGAGGCTGGGTGGGTTGGTTCAATTTTATTTCGGTTTTCTTTTCTGATGATATGAAAATCCATTTCCCCACATTAATTGACTAATAACCTTACACAGCTTATCAAGGGGGTCATCAGCTTTTGTTTCTTCCCCAGTTAGATGGGCTGTGATGGAGAAGCCTCCGGGATAGATCTATAATAGCAATACAATTATCTGTGCGTGGGTATATACTGTACGTTTGGTTGGCTTATCTCAATTAAGAGATGGAGTATATATATCAGTCCTTTTTCAAGCTTGGCTCCTAACACAGAGGTTGAAATTTAGCATCGTGCAATATGTGGCATTTCAGCTGAGCCCCGTGCATTGTCGGAATCCCTTATCCACTCAGATCCGTGGTAGAGATGGAAATCTAATAACCAGTTGTCCCAACAGTGCTTTGGGCAACTGGATTTTCTTGGTTTTTCTTTGAAGACGTTTTGCTTCTCATCCAAGTAGCTTCTTCAGCTCTGACTGGATGGTGGGAAATGGAAGGATTTATACTCCTTGCAGACAGCTGGTCATTTGCATTCTTTTAGCGAGTTGTTGAGGCCACCTGGAGGTTTGTGTCACCAGGGTTGCCTGAGTAATGCAAATGGGTGTAGAGCCTTCTTGGCGGTATCCTTCCATTCCCCACCATTCAGGCAGAGCTGAAGAAGCTTCTTGGATGAGAAGCAAAATGTCTTCAGAGAAAAACCAGACAGTCCAATTGCCACTTGAAAAAGCACTTTTGGGACAACCATGGCCTGGATGACTGAGAATCTCCATAGAGTAATAACCAGTTTTTAACTACATCTGGAACTCTTATACCAAATTCACATGTAAGAAAGTTGATCCTAGATTTAATATCCACCACCAGCAAAGAGATTTAACAACAAAAAAATTACACACACACACACACACACAAATCCTGCACAATGACAAATCCTCCATTGTATCAGTCTAGATCTGCCAGTTTCAGCTAAACTAAATCCTGACTGCCCTTCCCCAATATATGTGCGCAGCTGTGACACTTCCCTTCCTGTTATATTTATACTAATATAAATAATTCTTCCAGGAACCATGTTGCAAAAGAAGGCAGACATGGTCAAGTCATTCAGTCATTTCAAACTGAATTAGTAATTATTGATTAAAATTAATCTG